CAGTCGGATTGGTACATCTGAAAATGAGGATTTTACAAATTGAAAAGTTGGTAGGTGCGGGAGGACCTACAGTCTTTTTGGAGTTGGTGGGCTTATGACTATGTTCGCAAACAAAGTGGTGTCACCACTGGAATCACGATCCGACCCGTCTGTAAAATCAGACGGCAGCCGTTTCTTTGTACTGCAACCATCCTAATACGATTCATAGACATACTATTTACGCCTGGATTGACGTGCGAGCCGTTCATCGCTTTGCTCCGCAGAGGAGGTATGCCCTGAGTCAAGGGCTTCCGGCTGAGAACTCAGGGACCGGAAAAGTTTCTAGAACATTCTTAACTGAAAATGAACTTAATGCCCTGCCGATACACTTCGTGCGTGCACGACTTGAGTGGACATTTTGGTAAAGTACCCCTCAGTAAGTTGGGATAAAGAGTCTTGGTTGTGCACGGGGGCCAAAGGACTGACTCGGGCGGTGCAAACCACCATTCATGCACTATGCCAACAGAGTTGTCCGCAAATATGATATGGCTGAAAAACAACTTCCAAATATGACATTTAACGGGGGAATATCCATATGCAAACGGAAGCTTTGATGGAATAACACAACGCCAACATAAATGTACACATATTTTACGAAGTACTGAGTAATTCAAGTAATTAATGCATACATGTTTCGAGTGCCAGTGGTAAGATTACTGACCAATCGATAACGGTATGCAAAATGGGGAAGTATATACGAGTGTCTCTGGAACATAAACTTCAGCATTTACAAGATATTTGGTCGACTGATGCAAACAGCCGAGTGTGTTGCAAGTAGGAGCATTGAAAAACTAAATCTTCCGTCGATATCAATACGTGAGTGCAAAACGAGAGGGCAGTTTTGAATTTCTGGTACTCAATAGTATCTCCAGAAAAATCTACAATGACAGCTGGTTGGCCATCAAGCAAAATGCAGTTGTCGGGAAAGATTTTCGAAAAAACGACATCCTTATGAAAAAACCTGTGACATCCGGCAGTGGCTGATTGTCTCAGTCGTAAACCAACATCATCGAAAAATACCTTCCTTTCGACAGCATCCAATCCCACACGCTCGGACAGTCGGCGGTAAAGCTCAGCAGCCGGATGTTTTGGCCCATATATGTAACGCTTCAAATGACTCAGCTCAGATTCATAGGGAAAAGAGGAAAAACGATCCAAGCAACCATAAAGCTTGGCGAAATTAAATAAATGGGAGAAGAGGTGTATGTTGTACACTAAATGGCTGGGACCGAAAATAGCAGCAAATTTTGACACAGCAACCTTGGAAACATCAATTAAAAAATCAGCAAAATGTTGTGAAAAAAGGTGAACGGCCTATGAAAGTGGTTACCGAAAAATACATGAAACATTCGTAAACGTCAGAATGTAAGATATCTCGTAATACAACGGGTTCTATGTACAGAAGAAACTGTCGTAGCTCAGCTGCCTTCCACCGATCCAGGTCTACGACACCTCTACATTTTCGGGGCAAATCAATACTCAGAGCCAAACTCTGTTGCTCACTGTTATCATTCAGCAGATTCCAGGACTCCAAATAAAGCCTGGCCTTGTGTTCCATTGGCATAGCTCTGAGTAAGATGAGAAATTTCCGCACCAAACCAAGACGCACTATGCATGTAATCTGGTGGGAAACCGTCAATCATGGGAAGATTTAACTCCTCCAGCGGACTTGGACCTATATGGTGTTTCTCTTGCTTTCTGGTCCGGAAATCATGGCCACGACGCAAGGGAGCTGTCAACGAGGGAAAAGTTATACGTGTGCCGATGTGCACACACTTTTGTGTACAATAATCACAGCCATAATATCCCGTATATCCCTTCATTTACTTCAGGAAGGCCCTAGCAGGACTATCACAAATGCACTGAAGACGGACGGTGTGAGTATTGTAAACCCCAGAGACACCGTTCGCCAAGACGTCTATCAACTCAGCGACCGTGTCGGACATCAACTGATGAGCGCCATTGGGTTTCTGCTTACCACAGTTTATTCTAACGACAAAAGGCCGACCTAGAAAGGGCAAAATTATCCGGAAGAATATAGGCCACACTTGAGTACGCGAGTTGATATAGGCCCGAATACCGTCAACGTTCATTTGAATTTCGATATTTGTAACCGTAGTCTGAATCTCACGGAGCTGTTGCAGCAAACCTGCTTTCAACCCAAGGTGGATGTACATCCCACTGGCCTTCTGTCGCACGCAGCAACGACGGGGGTTTTCATTACGGTCCGTGGATCTTTCGGAAGAGACGGAAAAAAGTATCTGAGTTCGTCCAACACAACGGCTAAACCGGATAAAGGTAGATTCAGCCTTCGCGCCATCCGACGAACAGCCGTTAAAATACTTCTACCTGGTTGTGAATGGTTTAAAAAGGATACTGATGAAAAGCAATATAAGTGCAAGCAGAACATACGGACTGATCCTTTCAACGACTTGCAGTGGGCTACCTTATGGCAAAACGCAGGAACCGAAAGGTTCTCCAGGGACCGCAGTGGTGAATGTCTTTCTGGCTCCAAAGTCCTGATAACAGGGATCGGGGAAACCGCCGGCGAACATCGTGGTAAATCGCAGCCTAGTTTATCACCTGGATCGGTCAAATTCGGCATACCTACAGCCTATCATCTTATTAATCATGAATCTTACCCTCAGATAGTCAACTAAAGGCATTATGGACGCATTCATCAGTTGGGCAACGAAAACAGCCACTTGCCGCAACCGCCTGTCGTACTTTCCTATATAGCGTTGTTCTTGAAGAGCCTTTACGAGCAACACGAACAAATTTCGGGCGCATTGACGGTTACTTGAAATGAAAAATATTTTTTACGGTATCGTTCACGTAAACACACTAGGAATAAAACATATGAAAGCACAACAAAACTCACTCTCAGCCGTACGTGAGGACAAGCAGAACGCAGAGCTTCCCGCGAGCAATGGCGCCGCACAGTAAAATAAAACCGCTTAAATCGGTTGACCGTTTGCATTTCCTAGGCACACGGAAATGCAGGGTATTGTGGTTTTTATTACTGTGAGACAAATAAAGAAGCTTTGATGTCTATTAAACGTCTCAAGCTCGCGAGGCTTAAAAGCCGAAAACTATTGCAGAGGTTCTGCACTAATTCCGCACAGGTTCTGCACCCAGGAGCGGACGCGTGCTAACTGGGATAAGTAACAATACCCCCTCTTCAACCCAGAACATCAAGCTGTGGATGAAGTCACCATGTGTGTACGACAATCGTTCATCGGCCTCAGTATGAAACTTAGGTTCATTGATTGCTAACGCCTAGAAAATAACATGTTTGCTGGAGGATTTACTCTTCGGAATCTGACTATCATCCAGTGGCACGTTGTAATAAGGCGTCCTTCCTTTCTACTTGGGTCATCACAAGGCGGAGCACATAAGCAAGGGCCCACCACGGATGCAACGGTTGATACTCTGATCCTTCACAGTCTTCGTCCAGCGGATGCTTCTCGGTTGCGACTGCCAAATATATCTGTCTGGCACACCCAGCATTGGTTTACCGAGTAAATGACTCTGGTCATGGCTCATCCTAACAGCTGCCTGAATGTTTCTACGTGATTGAGCTTGGCACCCTGCCTCTTGTCCCTTACTGGACGCCACTGATCATGTACACATTAACACGGCCCATTTTCTTCTCAGCTAAACACGTTCCGGAGGTCGGTAAGGGGGGCCAGTAATTTGGCCCTCAAATGCAATATGAAACCCGAAGTATTTGGAAGCTGCTGACGTCAGTAGGCATTTTCATGGAAATCCCTCATGAGGCTAATCCATAAACGGAACTTAACCACCTAGCCAAACTCCTCAGTATTTTGGCCTTGAAGATTCCCTGTCTTTTAATTACCCAATCTGTTCTCGCTTCTAAAGATGAATAGCGGGAGCGAACATATTCACAGGTGAAGATGGAAAAGATTAGCTAATAAATATCTTAGATTATACAATCTAAATTTGTCACACAGAGGCATAGCAATGTGCTTACTTGTTGTTCAGATCCTCCGGATTCCAATCGGCGCGCTACTAAGATCACCCATGTGCTGTTTGGTAACGATGGTCTTCATTTTCACTGAACTTTCGGTACTAATAAAAGCTCCAGCCGAAGTGAGTTTTTCGCGGATCATCGGTCTATAATTTAGTTTTGTTCGAGCATACACACGCTCATCCTCGATGGTAAATGGCAAAATCTAATTATGAGTCATTTTTGTCATCTAAATGAATGGCACATGTATCATAATCTAACTGGATTTATTCGGCATGCAGTTTGGGTTGAGGTTCTCGTTGGCTGGAAATCTTCACTGGTAGTTTTTCTGCACCTGATGGTACGCAGTCAGATTTTGCACCTGTTTATCAACCACTTGCTCTATATACTGACTGAAGATGAAGCATACTCAAAGGACTGCTTCATTGGAATTTCAGGTAATTCATCGGAGTTTTTCAATTTGTATACGATTAGGGACGTTCTAATGCCTGGTATCTAAATGTAGTGTAGTTGACAAGCCTCCCTGGCAGAGGCTCTTGTAATGCTGCGAAACAGTGGGCGTATGTGCGAGTATGTTGTTATCACGCAAAAGAAGGCATAAGCCAGAAATTGGAGGGCCAAATAAGCCACGGAATTCACGGACGTCTGCAATAATCTCTAAAGGCCGCTAAGATGCAGCTCCCCTGTGACGGAATCATAACCAACATCGGCACGGGCGAAGTTATTTAGACCAGACGACAAACGGAAGCAAAGTATGACAAGCTATGTAGAAATGACAACTGGAATAACAAAATTCGATGAGGTATACAGTGTAGGTGAATACAGTTGCAGTAATAAGTATACGTTGAAAGAACCACAAACGAATGAAGCTATGCGCGAGTTTGCTTTCCACTTAAAAGCTGGCGAACAAAAGTCATACACACACCTTCATTCAAGAAGGCTGGTGTGTTTGATAAAACTAAGAACGATGGGACAGTAAATTCAAGAAATGAAAGAGAAGTCGCTGATGTAAAACGCGTAACAAAAATTAGCCGGCGAACAGAATGCCTTACAAAGATATGGGCGTCAGCAGACATCACCACCGCCGAGGAAGTTGGCGTAAGGTTTGGGTATGACCGCAGCGCCCGCAGTACTGTAAGACTCTTCATTTCGCATGTTGTAAACGAAAACGAAGTGTCATGTTGTGTACGAGATAGTTTCGTGACATCAGACGACAAAACACGAGCAAAGCATGGATCTATGTAGAGTTGTTAACAGTAAGTACAAACGAAACCCGATAAGATGACACACAAAAACGGTATACACAGCGTGTGAATAAACGTGAAAAGTAGAGCAGCATGCTAGAAGCCTAGGTAAAAGACAAAATGTGAAATACTTCTTGACTGCTGCGTCCCGTAGCACTAAGCTAGCCTCAGGACGGCAAAAGGGAGAGATTCGTGCACTGTACTACACTGTCTACACTTTTTCATTTTGCAAACATGAACTTTCTGGCTTCCGATTCTGCTTTTTCTTGCCTGTTGACAGTTTATTCTAGCCCGGCTAATGAGATTATCTATTATACGTTCACGATCATGCCGAAAAATGAGACTTTGGAACAGCTTCTATGGTCAGGCCACAAGTTCCAGAATGTAGTTTCGCCTTGAAATTGTGAAAGATTTGCCCACTGCATAAGTGGTATTTTGTCACCTACCTGCATTATTCTGTTATCCTTACGCTCACGTCCGTGGTGATGGGTGAAGTTGCGTACGTACCCAAAAGTGCATGCACTTAATGCGCATTCGAATCCAAGGTTGCTTATGTCTAAGTGCTCTTGTATTTAGATGTGCCGTTCGTTCTTATTTTCTCTGTTGTCTTACTTCTACTTCTGGCCTTTATCGCGTTGAAAATAAGTTGTTCGTAAGTACCATAGTCTTTAAAAATCAAAAGGGAATATCACTCACAGTATTCAAATTTAACGGTGATGTGGGTGTGCACGGAATGCCAAATTACCATGTTTATCAAGGTGGCGTGGATGTATGGGTTTTGAAGGTTTTTACGTGTGTGTTCCGAGACCCTCAGTATGTAGATTCTTAGAAGTTGTGATTTTATCTCTTGACTGAGTATCCACTTTCTATATTGGATTTTATGACGTCATCGATCTACCAGAAGTTTTAACAAATCATTGCTTTCATTTGTTTCTGTAACTGTAATTTTCCCTGATCTTTAGGAACAGTCCAATACTTAGTAATTTTCATGCGATCAAAATACATGATCACCTCTGTAAATTTGCAAAACATATTACAAGCTTGACAAGGCAGCCAAGGACCTTCCTTTTACCCGCTATTTTTGTAAGGCATTTTTGATAGTCCAAGGCAAACACGCTGCTGTTAAACAGCATAGTTAGGTTTATCAACAACTAGGGGACTAGTCCCACTAGCTTTTCTAAAGTATGGTCATTTACTAAGAGTCAAGGTACTGTGAAGGTAATGGAACCATAAAGCTAAGAAAGTAAAATCTATTTACTCATGTTCGTTTTCCACTTTTCAGTGCTAGTTGCGGCTTCCTATAGGAGCGCTCTACATTCGTTTCGGGGTTTCTCCCTTTCTATTTACTTAAAAATAGGTAAACCAAATTTCACTTATTTTGCTTGTGTTGTTTTGCGAAGACCACAATTAGTCTTTGAGCTACTGATTATAAGAACACCAAAGTTGATTAAACCGGATGATATCTTTTGCTCTGCTGTTTTAGTGGGCATACATTATAGAATCACTAAACAGTTTACTCTCATTGAGTACCAGCTGTCATCTGTGAAGGTGTAAAGATCCGTAACGCCCTACCGTAAATTGTCTCAACAGGAAAAAAACATTCCAGCAAGCAACAGGAAATGTTCAATTAGAAGCGTTCAGATTTATTAAGAAGTGCTTAAAGAAAAAATCGAGGCAATAGCGCTTGCCTTTGGAAAACCAAATCAGTTCAGCACGCGTTTGCCGCGTCTTATTTGTTCTCTTCCAAGGAAGTCTTCAAAGAACCGATTGGATAAAAGAAAAGCATGCTGCTGATGGCCAGCAGCGAACCCTTTATACAAGGATCATCTAGCCAGCAAGTTGACATATCCCATCTAGTCTAGGGGCACCATTCTGCTTGAAGTACTGAAACACAGGTCAGTTGCGAAAGACCTACACAAAAGAGAGAACGGCCATTTGGCTTATCCAGGTATAACCTCATATAGCCTCATTATGTCGGCCAGTAACTCCACCGTTTTAAAAGCTACACGATGCACTCCACAGTACAGTGAAATTAGGCAATTCACTTTCGTCCAGCAAGGATTGATAAATAAAACTGACGGCTACGCACTGAATGCAACGGTTCAGTTAGTCCGTTGCTTTCCACTAGGACAGTCATTTAGAAACAAGAAAATAGATGATGTGGTGAAAAAGAAGACATAAGCCCCTGCGTTTTCAGAGCACCAAATAAAGGTAAAGATTCAAATAAATCACTGGAAGGCGTCTCTTATCCATAAAGCTCATATGAGTGCCAATAATTCCGTGTAAGCTCTGGGATAAAAAGAAACCTCAATGGACGTGGTTAAAATATTCGAAGTGATTCGGTTGAATTAAATTACGTACATATATACACTCGTAAAACAAAGTGAGAGGCAAAGTAAAAGACACAGTAAAGGTGGTATGCAGTGAATTACAGAGTACATTCATCGGTTATCTGTCAGTTTAGCCAGTGATAACCAATCGATCTTGAACGACAGCAAATGCTTGGCCCATATGAATATTCAGGAACGAAAAAACTAGATCTAGACTAACATGAGAATTATGCCAGGACAAATGTGGAAGTATCTCCGTAACAGCGGTATGATTTCAACTCATGGAAAGCTGGCAAATAGTTAAAATAGCAGGTTGTTCGCCTCACACTCCCTTGAGCTGGCTCAATTCAACTGCAAGGCCGGGATAGCTACTGGATCGTCGTTTTACGTATTCATATTATCTGTCACAGCACTGAGGCGTGAAAGCTTTTGACTGTTAGGGCTTAACACTTCAATTGCACTCAGTATATGCTTGTGAAATAGTGATGCGTCGGATGTTCAGGTTCACACGTCAGAGACTAGTCGTCATATAGTGAAATGGAACCGAATGGTGTGTCACTGAATGGAGTGGATCCGCTTTGCTTCGCATAATACTGATGTGCACATGCATCCTATAAGCATTCTCTACGTAAAATCATTATCAAGCCAAGATGGAAACGACGCTTATTAAAAATTTTATTGACTATTATTTCTGGTGGCAAGCTGTTTTTAAACCATTCAAATCTAACAAAATTATCAGAAACTCACACAGAGAATAGTGGTTAAGCACGGACATACAAACATGTTTACTTGGTCCACTTACTTATGAAATACTCGGCCGTATATGTTTCCTTTAGTACCGGCATTGTTTCCGAATGTGATACTGTTTACAGAATAACTATCCCTTCCTACAGTCCAGCTCCAGAGTTTTGTTGTACTGGCTCTGATGGTACCGTAAATATATACTAAGCCATTTAAATGATCTTCTGGTTTGTATTCGATGAAGTAAGAGAGGACAACCTGTAACGAAAAACCGTATCTCATGAAACCCCAGAGAGTTTTGTGCCTGAAATCTACCTGTTGATGGTTTGAATACCCAGTCGTTTAAGCCCGAACGACGGATCAGCAGTCTGATAATCTCACTTTTATACGGCACATTGCGTGATTCATCCGTCTTTCACAGAATACACGTCACTTGATCACGTCTTGACTGTCTGTCTAAGTGATAACCTGAAAGATGGAAGAGTCGGAAGCCTTAATTATTCTGAATAACCTATATGTGATGTTTATGCTGTAGTGTTTGAAGGTATCAGTAGTGATGTCAGTAACTCTGGACCGAGTGCCTTGAATTTCAACAAAATGAGAACACTTCAAAAAGTTTAAATTCTGTTGCCAAACGGATGACAATGTGCGAATCTTCTCCTAGTCTAGCTAGTTCGCTATCATATTCGAACATTGAGCCATACAAACAAACAACTCAATAGTCAGTACACCTGCACCAAACAAGTACCACCAAAAAAAACGACAGAACAGTAAACCTCAGTGTTGACAGAAGGTCGCTTGACAAACTTGTTGTAAACCCGGACTTAATCAGATGTTTCGCCCTAGAGTGTCGTGAGAATATGTGGAGTTTTTTTCAGGTATTGAGAAAAACGATTTTGTCTATGTTGCTGTAATATCCGGAAACATGACGGTTGGCACCTTCTAAGTTTAAGAAAGTCTCAGCAGCGGCTGTAATGTGAAAGTCAGGTAAATACATCTTTGAAAGCTAACTTGGTCTTCAACGATTTAGAAGTTCAAGCATCATAGAGAGTCTTCGATTGATGGGACTGTGACGATTCAGGATGCTGGCGAAATGAGTTAATTCGACTGCGAATACGTAGTTTGATCGCGGGCCTTTGTGTGAAGTGGGACGAGTATAGTTGTCAGTGATCAAGTCGATACGTCGTTTTGTGTTCACCATTCAGAAAAATGAGATGAAGTAGGGTTCCAAGATGTTTTGAACAATCCAGGAGAGAGCTTACACCCACCGGGAGGTTTGAGGTTTACCATGAAAATGACTGTACCATGTCACAATGAAGTAAATTGAAAGGCTTGAAGTAATTGCAATAAAGGTTGAAAGAGGAGTAGACTGAAAACTGAGGTGTTCCGCGCAGCAGCTAATTCTTCAGTAGACATACCTTGTTAGTATTCCATCCATCATGGAAATCGTTTCACCACCACTTATATGGAGCTGGCTGACCTACTGAAACATAAGGTCAACGATTGCGTTTGAGCATCGGTGAGACTTCTACCTCCCACCCTGAGTATTCACTACTTTCTCTATCCCATCTCAGAGGCCTAGGCATCCAAATCTTGTTATCCTGGCAATCTTGGTTGTGGGTGTGATCACCGGCTGCCACTCACTAAAACTCACATGTTGTCCGTGACTTGGTATTTCGCCTAGATAGTCCACGAATTTCAGTGGCGACCTATCGTTATCATGTTGGACAAACTATCTTCCGCTCAGACAGACGCAAGTTCAGCTGAAAATATAAGAATAAAATAACTCAAGATAAACGGAGATAGTAATAAACTCATCACTTCAGAATGGCGAGGTCAGGTTCGCCGCTGATTACAAAAAATCAACGAGCTCCCGGAGCACATATGACTGATCTGAGCCCACACTAGTGTTCAATTATGAGTAGCGATCTTATAGCCAGCAAGAGCTGATGGCAGTTTGGTCGGCTTTTGTTTGCTACGAACAGCCACGTGACAAGATGTTGTACAGACCGTAAAAAGTTTACGCTTCCTAAGGAATATGGACTGGAGGAACCTAACTTTAGAAGCCATTCGCAATTTTTACGCTCCCAGTCGAAGTATTATATACGTCTAATTTCGAGTGAAGCTTATCAAGATGTTTGGAGGTACTTATTAATACCGTACAAAATAGTTTTTTGAAGTGGAGAAAAGTCAACTATATCTTAACACTCGTCAACATATAACACCATCCACTTAGGTGTCATTTAGGATAACTGAACGCCCATGGTGGAGCTTTGTTCAAGTTGTCAGATCCGATCCACCAGTTGAACAGTTTCAGCAAAATAGCCAGTTAATATGCGGATCACTGTAGCATACAAAGAAAGCAAGTCCACCATTCGCATGCTGATCGTACCCGTTAACTTCAGTGACAACGATTAATCAATTCATCCGAAGAATGCAAAAAATGTTCCCCCCTCCTGGCGACCACTCCCCGTCTGTCTTAATCAGGTCTAGTTTTTGCTATCAACGTGCTATCCAACCTTTCGGTGAAAGGTACTTGGGAATTCCAGCTAACGACCGGACGAATATTCCGGATCCCCAAAGCAGCCATTGCCTGGGGTGATTTGTTTCTCATTCAGTTTCCTGTGCCAACATCTTCTCTTGTCGGTAAGTCTAAATTTTGTTCTCACTCAAAGTTAAAAGTTATTGTTAAACTGTCATAGTGCATTACAACCGACTACAGGATTTGCCGGGTAGCAGGACGAAGAAGTTGGAATTAAATATCTTTTATTGATGCAATTAAGATAAAGTGATACTTATGAAAAATAGATCGATTAGGGAACTAGGTCCTAGTTAGGCATACAAACCTGGAAAGCGTAGAAACTTCAAGACAAATTTATCCCACGTTAATTCTATTCAAGCTAATCTAAACCTTACAAAAGAATTAATCACCTGTGGTATATCAGAAACCAACTTAAGCTTGGAATTAAAGGCGGCCATCAATCTCTCGTTTTTTTCCGATTATGCTTCTCTTGAAAATTTCCAGAAGCCAACGTTGTTTCTATTTTGTCCAAAGAAATAAGCAACCCCAAGAAGTTATGGGCATTCTGAGTATCTTCTGTGGTAAGCTCCCAATGATGCTATCCAACATAATCAAAGGTTTTGACAGTATTGGTCTATAACACAGGGACCGTAGTAAAAGTTGGAGTCGATATCCAGAAAATAACGTACGTCTCTGACCACTAACGAAGTACATAAACGGCGTCTGGTCTTGTGGTTTTCGTCTAGTGTCTGATACTCACTGCGAGATAATCAAAGTCACACACCTATGTACACCAGGAACCGCACTTAACCCACCCATGTTCACCGCCTTCATAGGCCTCATCTTTGTAAGCACTAACGTTTTCCGATCACACGCTTGTATGTGCAATGAAACTCAAACCTAAATTGGGAATCGATTTGGATTCTCAAACAAAGCCCGGCCGGAAAGCAGTCGCTGTGTGCCAGAAAGTCATCACCATATTACAGGTGGTAACTGAACAATTCGTGGTTCATGTTCGATCACCAAATGAAGAATTAGGAGAATGTGTCCATCACACATATGTCTATGGGCCAACCTAACGTTAGTACCTCTGTACAACAGTGACTCCAGCCGCAAAACCCAGCACCAGGCTAGTGGAGCTTAGATGTACACGAAATGCCCCATCCTGATAGGATCCGATTTCCTTATGGAGACCTGAGTCCAGCTGTAGCAAACATATGCTGTGGTTCACGGCGGTATGCGATGAGAAATGAGTTATAATGACTATGATTTGGATCCGGAAAGTTTCCAAAGAGTTTGCCGAACACTAACTGAAAACTAAATGCGCAAAGAAATGGACAAGGTTGAAAGCAACCGTTTTGGAAATCCGGTCAGTTTCCCCTTTCTGTGGGTTTAAAAGGTCCGTCTCCTGTGATGTCAGTAAAATCTGGCGTCTCGGCTTCGCCTCCTGTCAACTAGTGAACAATGCCTACGATCTGCCATATTGGTTTCATTAAAAGAAACAAGGACGACCATTCAGGAGAATTAGATCGCAAGAGGCGAAATGCACTCACTCACAAGTTATTCTGGTGTTAATGGGAGTGAATTTAGCCTCTTGTTAGCGATAGAAACGCAGCAACTACGCCCACTTGGTGAGTTCTAAGAAAGACGAAACCGGTGGTGGAGTGCTGAAAAAGTTTTCAGCAACCGTGTGAGAAGTATGTTGTAATCAGACTTCCAGGTCGTTTCCAACTTCAAAGGAGGTTGTAGACCGAATAATTGTTCGAACCGATTCCATTCATACTAAGCTCGAGAACCTGAAGGGTTTATCTGAGATTAATATAAACATTCCAGTAAATGACTTACAATTTATCTACTAACTTACCTTTATAGGAAATTCGGGCGGTGTGCAAATCACGCAATTTTAGTCAACGACGAAACGGTAACATAGTGATAGTGGGTTGTTCGGCAAGATAATCCACAATTGAAAGTTTGAAGTTTGCAGTAAATTTAGATGAAATCACTTGCCAATGAATTCGGCAGAGTTGAACACATCACACCGAGAGTAGTTTAATTAAGGTAAACAAACAGCGGTAACGCTACATCAAACGTGAAAATCCAATTGACATTGAGGCTTTACAGCGTTACGGCAAGATTACACCCTGTACCATTCTATCATGAGCTGAATTCAGATAACACTTTCAGCCGATCTGATTAAAAATTGGCTTCTGAAGTGGGTATGTATTTTGAGAAAAGAATAAATAACCAACCACTGAATCTACCATTACCAGAGATGCAGCGTGCGCATAACCCAGAAACAACGGTGAAAAATACGGTACAAGAAACCTCTAACTAGTAGCACGTACAACGGGAGATGTGTTATACCGACCTAGCTACTACTGACATCTGTTGCAACGTTTCGTCTTGAGGCAAAAGCCATTAGTTGTAACAGTTGCCTATCCACCGACCAACAAAGGACCAATGATGACCCTTTGTACACTAACAACATGAGGCGACTGCGGAGTGGATGATGAGTTTGTCGTACAGTGCCCAACATGCATGCACACATGGTTACAAATAGTTCTTACCACCAGTATGTAACTCTTTAGCCTGATCAACTGATCTGTACGAGGACATCCCACAACAATGAACGTTGTAGCTATGAATCTGGCAGTTTTATCAAAGCTGTAAAGAACGTCTAGTTTTCGAATTAACCTTCTACACATACTTTGTATGCCACTTTTACTTCTGGAATGTGTGCACAGTTTAATAGGACGGTGACGGTAGAGTTCAAACCCGGGTGGGTGATATGGTGTCTCACGACCCCACTTACACGGCCAACTGAGCCCAAAAAAGTTAGTTACCAGATTTTATAGACGTATTACATTAATTATAAGGTCGCTGAAAACTCTTCGACATCATAACCAGAGATTCAGATAGGTTCCAGGTGAGCCTCCCCTAAAAACCAAATTGGTTTGCAAGTCAGTGCACCTCGATAAATAACAGACGTTTGAAAACTGCTGCAAAAGCACATTTTGGAGTTCTTCATAAATAATCGAATTGTGTTATAGATTAGGGGTTTCAGTGTTCCACACCTCTGACTGCGTGGAAGCAAATGCCATTAGAAAGAAACAGCGTTACAGCCATGACATACCAGGAACACTGACAAAATGGCTTAAAGATCTGCCCTTAACAGCGTATAAAGACAACAGAGCATTCTTGCTTGGAAATCTTTAAACGAACAGAGCACTTTAGTACCACACTCACTTTGTTGCGGATAAATATTTGGAACACTTATCAATCCAGCTATTGTTAGAGAAATAAATTATACAGTTTTTCGGCACATAGAGTTGGTCATTCAAGAAGATTGTGATCTAGACTACTCTACTTAAATTCCCAATTGGACACTGAGAAGAAAACTATAAAAGGTGCTTTCGCACATCCTAGGAGCCATTTCTTTACTTCCTTCGGGAAAATAATGAACCCCAAGTCGCAAGCAGAAGCAATGTCCAATAATACCCATAGCAACAGAAATTAGCTTTTGAACTACTGGAGACCAAACGGTCTACGCGTCATACGGGTCATACTGTGAAAGACGGTTTAGTAAATCTCAGTTAATATTCAAACATACTGAACAGAAGGGTACTTGACAATCAGTGGTTTGAGTGTTAGCAATAGGTAGACAAATTGTACCTCGTTACGTATAGCTTATGAGTTACCCGCGTTCGACAAAGTGACCTCACACAATGGATCAGGACAATCTAGTTACTATCCATGGAGTCGGTAGAATTCTGTAATTCAAGTGTTTTCCAATCGACTCCAAAAACGGACCGAATTGCGGAGCACAATTTGCCCTGCAAGCAATAGATGAAAACATGAAAACTCATCAAGAGTTGATGTATGGAAAGTGTCAAACCCGAAAGTGTCTTGCAAAAGACCAGGTGGTCGGACCCGTTTAACTTTAACGATAACTATTTTCAATGACACCATGGTCAACGACTCAGCTAGGCTGATTTATATGTATACCAGCGTTGACGTTATATAATAACATGGCTATAGGACGACATCCATATGAAGCAGTTTGTGGGGCAGGGATGAGATAATCATCTCTGAAGAAGACGGCCAACTGGACTGTGAACCAATCAAAGAAGCCAAATAATCCTTCAGAGCACCACTTCACTGGTATCCTTCGATCGGACAGTGTAACATTAAAACAAGGATATTGCAAATTCCCAACTTTAAGATTTGACCCAAAGAAGGGCAGATGTCAAAACCACAATACTGTTGCCCAATGTGATAAAATCCAGCGGGTTGAGAAGAACGAGCACTAGATCTGCCATAAGAACTACACAACTCACTTCATTTTCTCGACTAAGAAGAAATTTGATAATGATATGCCGGAGATAGCGAAAATTTACGAGTTCTGCTGGAACGTCAGTGTTGGTATTCTGTTTAGGAAGGGGCTGCGCATTAGCCTGTGCGGATGTAGCGTGATTCGGTACATTAGGTAAACCCGAAGAACAGCGATTAGAATGGCTGTGGAGTGAGTGCTTTTCTGATAGATATTTAGAATTTTCTTCGACCGAGTAGGCATTGTTATTTGAAGCGTCCAAAGGCACGGGCGGCCACGAGTGGACGGAACCCAACGACACACGTTCCAGCGACCTGAAGTGAGGGTACGTAAATGAAAGGTACCGGAGGGATGTTTGTTCAAAAGAAATAAAAAAGGAGCAAACGGGTCATGCGATTGAAACATTAGAGGATATCCAATATTCTTATGGCATCAGAGGCTTCCTTGTCCAACCAAATTCGAAGTTTACGACTAACACTGAAAACAGTGAAATCTATCAATTATTCCTACGGAGCACCTTCCAATTAGCGTTCAGCTGTAGCACCGGTGCCTAGTTAAAAAAGAGTACAGATTTACCGATGTGACCGACTTCAACGAATTCCGACCAGTCGTATAACTTAGTAAAAGTTCTTTTGAAAAATCGAGTTCAAAAGACCTACCAGTGGCGTCCTACATTGCCTAAACGCCACGAAATATCCACTGGGCAGCTAAGATTATGTTCCGGTCTACGCGCCGGTGACCGATTTTATAGTTTAAGGTTAAATCACCTGACACTGATACAAAATTTTACCGGAGTTAGTGCAGCGATAGAAACTCAATACTTTCTGGGAAGAATGGAAAACAACTGGATCCTCCATTAGCCCGCCCCCACCTTCCAATTATAAAGGCTTAGCGACGGGACAGATCGGTGGAAGAGGAGTACCAAGATGGGACAACAAGTGATTGAGCCCGTAAGCACTCAGTACACACCATGAGAAACCCACAAGATCATCAATCCTAGTAGGTAGAACGAAATTATTTTTACTGGGTCATAAAAGCAAACAAAACTTCGAGAAAAAAAACATCGCTTGAAGTACTGACGTCAGGAGAAGAAAAAACTGAAGCAAGGGTGCGACAAAAAAGTATACTAAGTTTCCGACCATGCAGTTTACTAAGGCTGGAATCTCATGCTTTCAATGCGCCTGGATGACACTTTGCTGTTACTTCTCCATTTCTGTTCCAGGGTAGCCACCAAGTCAGCTTAGGAATCACATCTATCCGTACTTTCATATTCAGTATGCCGCCATGCCATTGAGTTCTGTATCACGTTGAGATCGAAAGGGCAAACAGGTTAGTCCTCAGAAGCACATACACAAACCCGTTAATCAAGCTCGCTAATGCGAACAGATCAACAGCCACCTGATCTGCAACTAATTGGCGAATACGAGCTACCAATATTTCAGTGCGTTACCACATAAGTAAGCCGGAAACTGTCGACCAAAAGTTTTTGCACTCAGTTCAGGCGAAAAACCCAAAATTCCGTTTCACAGCATACGATGTAGAACAAAGTAGAAGTTAGGAGAAGATCCAAACCGTCTTTTACGAAATGAGTTTTGATAATAACTTTGCCTACCCTCTGGTAGAGATGACTTTATTTTGATAGATAAAGCTGATATACGGTTTTTATTAGCTATTTATCTAAAGAAGGAACAACTTCGTATCCTTGAAGCTGTTTCCTCGAAGGCGAAGTACAATTTAAAAAATATATGAACCACAACTTTTAGTCTTTAATGAAACCAGAAACAAATTGAACACGGTGACTCACTGGGAACGGATGGCGGCTTCGCAAGGGTTGGGATACCACCCTGTAACAAGACCGTCAACACTGTCTTGGTCGGAGAAAACACGATTCGACCTTAGTTGCTCTGATAGCATTCGCTTCAATTCCTTCAGACGCTTTTGCAGTAAACTGATCATCTAGAGTGCACACGCATGTGAAAAAGGGGAAAACGTGGTGAGAACGATTGCATGGGGCAGCCAAGTACAGGCCCTGGTATTCAGATATAGCAGACCGAGGAGCCGGACGATGCACATCCAGCGACCTCAACTCCATGAATCAAGCAAGATGAACAGCCGGGGGAGTCCAACACAGGTGAACTGAAACAATGAGTGAGAATGGGTATCTGTTCTTGAGAGGGTAGGCTGGTAACCATGATACACTGTTGATCCGCTGTGAAGACAGGGGCAACCTCACTAATAGGACATGCGGGAAATCTAAGAGTGTAGAAAGATAAAACCTGTAAGCTCATCCACAGCATTGCAGTAGTGCCCTTAGAAAAGACGACTGAATTACGGAGCAGCCTAACTCAGTAATCTGTCTGTGCACCGATGGATAACATTTTCAAATATAGACTTGACTTGCAGTAAGATGTGACTGGACCCATCTTGGAGATAGGGTGGAACCAGTGGCTCCCGGTGAGACAAAAGTGCGACCCGCAGCTGAATCGGCGTGTATTCGCGTCAGCAATCGTTGCGGAATCATTGCCGCTATTTTCCATTTGCGATGATGAGTAAAATACAGCACAAACGCAAACTCGACTGACTGTCGATCACAGGTTTCTTGTGTATCCGCCGAACAGAATCGAAGTGTACAATGTGTACAGTTCTTTATCCGCTTACCAAAAATCAGTGTGGAGATGAATCTAGGTGGGCCTGATATTTCTGTGAATATGGGTTGAACATAACTGAACCAGAGTGCTCATGTGGACCTGCAAGTGAGACATACCGACCGGACATTTTTCTGTAGTCTTGATTTCCGCGAATTTATTGACGAGGTGCTCATGTGACCTGCAAGTGAGACATACCGACCGGACATTTTTCTGTAGTCTTGATTTCCGCGAATTTATTGACGAGTGTAACTTTGTTCC